GCGTCGACGAGCGACTGGCACGAAGCCTTCATGCCAACGAGCAGGGCAGGCTCTGGCGGCGCTGGTCGTGGCAGACTCGAGAGTGCTTTCTTGGTGCTGCCCAACGAGGCCATGGCGGGCGACGAGGTCGCGTGCGGCGCCACGGCGAAGGACCCAGCTGCCAGTCCATCGTCGCCACGACCTGCCGGACGACGATCGAGCGGCCCTTAGCTTAGTAGCGCGCCATGGCCGACGCGCCGCGCCGATGACGCCGCCAGTCTACGAGCCAGGATCGCGCGCAGGCTGGCGGAGACGACGCCAATGTCGATCGAGGCCGTCGTGCAGTGTACTACCACGTGAGCATGCGCGACCCTGCGTCGCCACGTATGCATTTCGACGATAACGATGAGCGAGTGTACCTTGCATCCACTTCAACAACCTTGGTCGAGTTGGCGTTGCCCTCGCAGCGCTGGACCCAAAAACCATCTGTTTTCCGTGCTGACGACAACCCGTGCAGTCGACTTTGCACTTTTTGGCATTTGGCACGATGGCCGACGCTGCGGTACTAAAGGCCATCGCTGTCGTGGGCGCCTCATGGTCGAGCTACGATAGACCGCCGAGCTTCTACTTGCTGTTGCTGCAGGCGACGTGCCTCGCGTCCGTGCGGCGCTCGCCGATGGCGCCGACGTCAACGCGCGCAACGAGGTCGACACGCTACTGCGTCATCCACGAGCTCACGATGGCGGGCACGACGGTGTAGGCGGATGCGACGCCGCTGGACGTGGCGTGTGGCGAGGACCGTCTCGATGTGGTCACGTGCTTGCTCGCGCACCATCGTATGGACGTGGCCAAGGTCCATGGTCTGTTTCTACTATCTCTCCGTCCTGACTTGTAGTAGGCGTCGCCAATGCTCTTGTGGACCGTTTGTGAACGCGGCGCCGGTGCGATGGTCGCGCAGCTCCTCGCCCATCCCACGACGAACCCAATGACGCTCCTACCGGTACCGGTAAGGTTGCTCTCCATATCGACGGCTTTGGCTTGTAGCCATCGGACTAGAGCGGGTGGAACGTGCTTTTTGCGCTCTGCAGCACGCCACGCATGGCCGAGATGCTGTCGCTTTTTGTGGACCATCCGCGCGTCGACTGGAACGTCCCGATCCACGTACTTTGCCTGTCTCTAGATGGAATATATGGCACGACACGCACGATGCTCATAGGGCGAGACACCGCTCCAGCGCGCTGTGCAAGAGCAAGCGTGGCACTACGTCGCGGTGCTGCTGCAGGACCCGCGCGTTCATGTCAATGTCTTTGTGGTACATGGCGTCCACACGTGCAGTCGACAGAAGCGCACGACGCTCTTGCACGCGGCGTGCGATGCCAATGACGCCGATGTCGTCGTAGCGTTGTTGCGTCGGCCCGACATCAATCGACACTGCCAAATTAAGGTCGTACAATGGTATCGATCCGTGCAATGCATACAAACGTGTGTCTGTAGAACCAAGGCACAGCTTTCGCATGGACTGTTGTCCGTCGTAATCGTGCCATCTTGGAGCTCTTTCTTGCTTTACCCGACGACGACATCAATCTCCCAAACAATGTACTGTATCGCGTGAGGCTGATGTCGTCACAAGACGTACCTAGGACGGCATGCCACCGCTGCACCTCGCCATCGACTACCACGACGACGATCACATCGCCCACCGCCTTCTTTGCGAGCCACACTTGCGTCGTGACGCCACAAACGCGGTTCACTATTGACATCGTCGATTTAACCCTAACCCTGTATCAATCCATCTAGCTCGGCAACACGGCGCTGCATATGGCCAGTCAGCGCGGCTGGACGTCGCTGGTTGAGGCGCTCCTTGGCGACAACGTGAACGTCCAGAACGCGGTACATATCGTTGTCTGTTAGATGAGATGGACGACCGTGGTGTAGGCTGGCGACACGCCGGCAAGCGTCGCGCTCTTGCACGGCCAGTACGATCTCGCGCTGCGCTTCTACCGCGACTTTGGCGCCCGTGTCAATACGGTCATGGTACACGATCCATGCCACACGCTTTGCGAAGCAACGCGCGTCGCTAGAGCAATGGCTTGACACCGCTGTTGTGTGCGTGTCAGCACGGCCACCTGGCGTTGGTGCGCGTGCTGCTGGCGTCGCCCTGGCTTGAGCGCGATGTCACGGACCAAGTACGTTCGTGGCCTTTACCGAAATGTGACTTGGATCTGTCCCGGGCTATTAGCATGGCAATTCGGCCCACATGCTCGCTTGCTACACAGATCCACGCGTGTTTTTTGCCTTGTGGACCATCCGGGACGACGAGATGGCGGCGACAAATGAGGTATACAACGGTACGCGCTTCGATCGTGTGTACGACTCGACGATTAGGTCGGTCGCACGATCTTGCACGTGGCCTGCGAATATGGCCGCGGGGCCGTCGTGGCGGCGCTTCTACCGCGTACCATGAATGACGTCAATGCACCCGATGCGGTGTCGATTCTCCTCACAAAGTAGTCACGGTGCCATGGGAGCCGGTAGGATGGCAGCACGCCCCTTCTCCTGGCCTGTACCTCCAACCACGGAGCTGTCGTGGCCCAACTTCTCGCCGTGTCCGAGGTCGACACTGACCGTGCCGACAAGGTGCGCAACGTCCTCGCACTGCGGTGTGGCGTCATATGGCGAGCGTAGCTGGGCCGGACCTCCTGCATGTCGCGTGTGAGAGTGGCCACGCGTCGGTGGTCGCCGCGCTGCTGTCGGTCCACGCCAATGTGCATGCAATCGACAATGTACATCGATCTCACGTTGTGCAAGAGACACGTCATGACAAAATCGCGTAGGATGGCAATACGCCGCTGCTCGTCGCAAGTGTGGCCAACCATGCGTCGGTGGTCGCGCAGCTTCTGTCGGATCACAGTGTCGACATGACGAAAACCAACAAGGTACAGAGGTCATGATATACCACTTCCATGCGTGAGATCCTATCGGTACTAGGACGGACGAATGGCGCTGCATGTGGCCGCGCGGGCCGGGCATGTGCGCGTGCTTCAATTGCTGCTTGAGGCAAGACCCGCGGCCATCGATCTGCGCAGTGCCGTACTAGAATGCGCCAAATTGCGTCGTGTCGAGAAGGCGTGTGTCTGTAGGATGGTACGACCGCCCTCATGGAGGCTGTCGACCACCGCAAGCCTGGCGCCGTGACGTTTCTGCTGCGCCATCCATGTATTGACGCCAACGCCGTCGACAAGGTGCGTTTCACTCGACTCGAACGCGCCTCGGCGTCCATGGCAAGACTGGTTTCCATACTAGGACGGCAACACGGCGCTCATGCGGCACTGCATGCGCAGCAGCAACTATGACGTGCTCGAGGCGCTCCTCAGCAGTCCCAAGGTCGACATCAACCGTCGCAACCACGTCCGCTTCGCTTTCGTTACGACATCGTTAATAAGTCGCTTGCTAGGCGGGTGCGACTGCGCTGGCGCTGGCGTGCCATGCGAATGACCCGATGCTGGCGGCGCAGCTCATGCAGCGGCCCCAACTGGACGTCTCGACCATCGATGCGTCGGTGCGTGCGCCATCTCTTTTATGGACATCCACGGGAGGGAATATGAGGATGCATTTAGTGTGGTCATATCGCACTGGCGGTGGCGTGTGCGCTGCAGTATGTGTATGTGGTGCGGAAGCTGCTGTCGTCGCCCGAGATGGACGTCAACTACCGGGATGCGGTACCTTTTTATGGAAACCCTAGCCCTAGAATGGAACCCTAATCCCTTGCAATGGATCAGAGCGGACTCACGACGCTGCTGCAAGTGTGCCTCAACGAAGGCAACGTCAAGATTGTCCATTTGCTCTTGGAAAGACCAGAAATCGACACCAGCGTGCGGGACAAGGTACTGTACACTGCCATCCTACCACGCCCGCGTCACAGCCTGTTGGCTAGCACGGCAACTCGGCGTTGATTTTAGCGACGCGCCAAGGCCATCCTGGTATCGTGCGGGCGCTGCTGGCGCACGGTAGCTGCCATGTCAACGCCGTCAACGACGTACGTCCATATTTTTTTTTTCTTTTTGGCGGGTGGGTTGGAATCCTCCATTGGAATTGTGCAGGCGGGATCGTCGGCGCTGCATGACGCGTGTCAAGCGAGGAACGCGGTGGACCTCGTGCCGCTGCTCTTGCGCTCCCCATCGATCGACGTCAACTGCCTCGACAAGGTAAAGCTTTCTTGAAGGCCATTTTCGGGCAAGGACACACGCGTTTTTAGAAAGGACAGACCCCGCTTATGGTTGCCTGCGTGTCCGCTGCAGATGCTGTGATCGACCTCCTGCTCGATCACCCGCGTATCAATGTCAGCACGTCTGGCCACGTACGTTGACGTTTTTTGCTCGAGGCAATTCGGCGACCGTCTTTTGTGTAGGAGCACTTTGGACCGCTGCAGATTGCAGTGCGACAGCGTGCAGTCGAGGTGGTCACGCGACTGATCCAGCACCCGACTGCTGTCGTCGAGGTTGCGTACGAAGTAGGATGATGATGACCGGTTGTGTGTCTAACTTGTGACGTAGTGGGTCTTTTTGGCGTGGGTACGGGCCGTCAACAACCAGCATCTACCGCTTTTAAGCGCTCTGGCGGCCCGTGTGGACGTCAATAAGGCGCTGGTTATGCCCGACCGATCGTGCGACGACGAGCAAAGACGTGCTCGGATGGCGTCGGCGCGTCCCGGGGCGTCGGTCGGCGCGGACCTGCGTTGGATGCACCCCAAGGTCAAGGTCGAGTGGGTGGCTTCTACCAATCGCCGCGAGTGCGCCGATGCGACCGTGGCCAGCTGTGTACGCGCTTTGTTGCTAGACTGGACGATCCAAGTCCATGTCTCGAGTCTTCTTGTGTTGATGGCTGTATGTAGAAGACAGGCAAGAATGCGCTCATGGTCGCGTGCCTCTTCAGCAACGACGCCATGGTCGACCTTTTGATGTCGCAGCCAACGATCGACGTCAACGCGGTCGACATGGTGCATAATATTGTCATTTGTGTTCAGCGCTGATGTATCGCTATGGCCACTTTAGGACGGCAACACGGCACTCATGCACGTGGCCTTTCTGCACCCGAGTGCCGAGCGTATCTGGCCCCGTCTCTGCGACGCTGCCCGTCATGACGTGACGATGACCAACACGGTATATAAATCCCTAGCCCTTGTCGACGATAGCGAAATGGGCTGTTGTGGGTGTAGCGAGGCGAAACCGCGATCGAGATCGCAGGACGTTGCGGCAATGCAAGCGCAACAGCGTACCTCTTGCAGCAGCTGCTGCGTCGTCGCCATCCGAGAGTGCCGCCTGAGATTGTTGATGCGATTGCCGCCTTCTTCGTCGGCCCCGGACGCTTGTAAGCCAAACCTCGGCCGCCGGAACGTTGTGCCCGCGACCGCCACACCATGGCTTCCGCACGATTTGAACTTTGATTAAAGCAGTAACGAGGTGCTACCAACATGACATGGCTTTAAAACGACGCCGAGACCTTTGTTTGAGTTGCCATCGGCATGACAGGCCGCGCCGACGATCCAATGTGGCACTGCATTGTCTTGGCTTCTCTGTATCGACGCGCATGTGTGTACAAGAATGTCGTTTGAACCGCCTTAGTGACGAGCTCCGACCCAACGTACATGACTGCCGTCGACGCGACGGCGACACTTTTAGTTCCCATGAGGACGCAACCAGTCGCTCCAGCAACCGATCGAGTTGAGACAATGTCTTCCAATGAGCTCTGCGCAATGACTTGAATGGACCCACGACTTGCACACGAACGGCCACACTTTTAGGATAGCGCGGTGTGCGTTGGTCATTATTTGATAGTAAATGTATATATTTCATTTTCAGGACGGCCATGGCCCTTGTCGTCGTCGGTGATCGCGACTTCGAGCCCACGTCCCCGCGTCCGATGTGACAACGATAGGACGCCATCTTGCTCGTCATGGCGGCCAACTTCAACGGCGCGGCCAGTGCAAGATTTTCAACGGCGACGTTTGATTGGCCGACCGATTTGGATTTTGGCCAACGGCAGGCTATTTTGATCCGCGAGGTTGACGCCCGACAGCGCCATATCCCATCGACCTACAGCATGGCCACGCGCAGCTCGCTCACGATCTCGACGGACCTCAACAACGACGCGGCGCCGCCGGCCGCGGACGTGAGCTTCTTCGACAAGGCCGCGCTGCTCATCGCGACCAAGCTCATCAAGGACGACGGCGACGAGGCCAAAGCATCGGTGTCGCCGACGTGGGGCACGGCCATCAAGCGCGACAAGTTCCAGGACATGGACCTCCTCGAGAGCGGCAACGCGCGCGAGTACATCTCGGAAGAGAGCCTGAGCCCGACGTCGGCCAAGGCGTGGACGTACAGCACGGTCCATCGCATCAACAAGACGCAGTACAAGTACGCGATGCGCGTTCGCTGCCCGTCGCCTCATGCAACCGCGTCGTAGGATGTTTTGGAACAACGACCAGTTCCTCCTGAGCGCCAAGCAGCACAATGGCATCTTTTACATCTCGCAGTACGAGCACTTTGGCGATACGGACATGGAGACGCCGACGTCGCACTACTGCGCGGTCCTCAAGTACGACCCTTCGTTTTCTTTAAGGTTGGCCTTGGTATGCACGTGGCGGTGCTTCTAGGAAGACGACCGACAACAGCTTCAAGCTGTACAACTGCGGCTGCGAAGGCTGCGACATTGGCTTTAGCAAGTACACGTGCTCGAACGACCACGAGTCGAGCAGCTTTGGCTTCCACGAAGAAACTGGCGAGGGCGCGGACCGCCAGCTCCTCGCCGACGTGTCGCACTTTACCAAGGTCGTGAGTGGCATTTCCAGCGAGATGCGCTGCCTCAACGTGGTGATTCCCGCCGTCATGGACGATGCGCGGTCGCGCGTCATTTGGTGGTACGCTCTGCCATATAAGCTTTTGCATCGTGGTCTCAAGACTACAAATGGTAGCCCACGCATGTGCCGGGGCGATACGCCGCTCGGAGGCACACCCCGGACGTCGGCCAAGAAGGAGCTCGTGACGTCGCCGTCGCCGCACGGGAAGAAGACCATGTTCACGTTTGACACGCCCGTGAGCGACCGCATCAAGCTCGTGAGCAAGCTGCCGTCGTGGTGCTCCGAAGTCAACTCGCTCATCATGAAGTTCCACGGTGGCCGCATCCGCGAAGCATCGGCCAAGAACTTTATGCTCGTACTCGATGACGACGACGACAAGCCCATCTTTCAGTTTGGCAAATACTCGAAGTCGAAATTCTCGCTCGACTTTCGGTTCCCGTTGGCACCGATTCAAGCCTTTGCGATTGGGCTCACGTCGTGCTCGTGGAGTGCCAAGTCCAAACTCAACAATTGAGTACTACACCGATGATCGATAACATGCGATGCATGATTCAATCTTATTTTCCCGATTTTAGCTGCGATGGCAATGATGCTCTGACTGATTGGTAGTACAAGAGGCGCCGGGGTGCGAAGAGACATCATGGCTGCATTTTCAGAAGTCGCACGAATGCGTTCTGCATCACAACGACAGGTCGCGTCGTCGTCGGAAGCTCAAAAGTCAGCAGTCACTTTCACTCGCGCTCCATGTTGCGAAGCGCTCGTGTGCCGACGCGCCAAGATGCTTGCGCGACCTGACAGCTTCGTGCTACTAACAAGCGTAGTATTGCTTTGAGGCCAATGCAGGTACTGCATTTGGCCAAAAATCGGGTGCCCAAGGCAGTGTTAAAGCAATTTTAGACCCATGCGCGTGCGGGATTTCACCCACCACCATCGAATTCGAAGCCCCCGAAACACGTTTAGTGGTGGTACCTGTTCGATCTTGCTCCTTAACTCTGGGTTTGCCTTGCACAACAATTTTTTCGGTTTGAAAAAGTTGGAGCTGTAGAAGCCATCGACGCTCGTTACATGCCTCGATGGTTTCAATGACCAGTTTGCAAACCGATGGCCGACAACGGCGTCGAGGTCGAGGTTGTGCGCAACCCGTGGGTCTCTCTTGCGCTGCAAGACTCGGCCTTTTTCCAATGGAGCTCGTCCGTCGCCAAGCCGGTGCGACTTCGGCGCGACAGGTGTCTCCAGCTACCTCTACATGGACACCAATGCCCATACGGTGGCTAGTGACTTTGATATTATGGACAAGACGCTGCAGTCGCACGCGCGGTACACGCCCGAGACAGAGCCCGAGACAGAGCTCGACTTTCCTCTTGTGTTTCGGCATCCAAAGCACCGCGCGTCGCGTCTCACGTACGTGTGCAATATTGTCTTCTCGTTCTTTTTTACGAAAAAATGACGATGTGTAGAAAGGTGCGATCTGTCTGTATGTGCCACGCCACGATGCAACCGTAGGCATCTGTGCCAATGGCATGCGACGATGACGCCAATAGCGACGACTCAGACGACGCGAACGAGCTCGCGCTGCCCGTCAACGGTACGCGTTGCTGCCAGCTAGTTTTTGGTCTTGAGGCAGCGTAGCCCCCATCCACCCCCTCCTCGGTCGTCTCGACCTCGACAGTGTTTTGGGTGCGCTGCCCAAAGCCGTACTAGCTCACGCTTCGTGCTCGAGATTGACGTGACCTCATGGCACCGTCTAGCACTGCATGAGCGTTGACTTGCGTCGACGCCTCGCCGTGTACTTTTGCGGCCACCCGAATGTCGAGACAGTGGTCCAGCTCATCGAAGCCGGGTCCATCGAGGTGTGTACATAATTGTCTTGCAGTCTTAATACAGTGTGCGGAACACGGTAGGCGCAACTCGGTTTTCTCTGCGACCTCTTTTGCTTGCGTCGACCAAGCACGTTTGACGCGCCACCAGCGTGCGACTTGGTGCGCTTCCGGCGGTGGACGCCCGTGCTTCGAACCCAGAAACGCATTTGTTTCCAGCTCCAGACCGCGCGGCCAAGTGTCCGCAACATCCACATCTTGCGCCAACTCCTCGCCGCGGGCCTGTACCTCGTCCAGCGCCACTGCCGCCTTTCCCTCGAGGCCGAGCCATCCCGTACGTATCTTCAACTACTATCATTAAAGACACTTTTGATCCTAACCCATTGGTACACTAGTGGGCCACCTCTGCCTGCTTTTGAAAGAGACGCGCATGATCTACGTCAACAAGGTGATCGCAGAAGTCGATTTTGTGTCGCTGCTCCGACAAGTGTTTCACCACGGCATCTTTCTCTGGCCGAGAGCGGTCCCACGCAAACGCGCAATGACCGCCACCACATGCGCCGACCCCATTGCAGTCTACTTGGCTTCGCAGAGTAGCTCGCTTTCCATTGCATAAGAGTAGTACTACCGTGTACCTT